CATTAAAGCTAACTCAGCTGCTCCTGTTTTATTAAGCAACAGAAATACCTTCACTTCCACTGTTTCAAGCCCTTGTAAGTGCAATGCCTTATTTTATTTTTATTTTATTTATCTACTTCATTGACACCCCAGCAGGGACCCAAAGCGGCTTACATCTGTCTCCTCTCCTCTGCTTGACCTCAATGCAGCCCCGTGAAGTAGGTTAGCTGGAGAGAGTATGACTGGCCCAAGGTCACCCAGCAAACCTCCATGGCAGAGAGCAGGGATTCCAACCTGGATTTCTTAGATCCTCGTCTGGCACTCTGAGCACTGCACCACATCAGTGTAGCAAAGAGCACAAAAGAGCATGTTTTCAACGTGTACAGAATGGTTTAGTGCCTATCCTTGGGCCGCTTTGCTGACCCAGACAGAACAGATTGGAATAAATGATGGGACAGATTGCAGCCTGTGTGGATTAAACCTCTTAAAGGGACATCACTGACAAGGGGAGCCGCCTCCCTGAAAGAGTGGCCTCTTGCATCTTTACCGTAATCTAGAGGGGGTTAGATCAGAACCACAGAGTGGGTGGGGGAGATACAGTGACGCAAGTTACCACGTCACTCGATATAACTTGAGCCTTTGAAAAAGAGCCGTTTCTGTCAAGAGCTCTCTCAGCCCCACCTCCCTCACAGGGTGAGGATGACCTTGGGCAAGCCGTAGTTCTGATAAGAGCTGTTCTTGAAAAAAGAGCAGTTTCTGTCAAGAGCTCTCTCAGCCCCACCTACCTCACAGGGTGTCTGTTGTGGGGAGGGGAAGGGAAAGGAGTTTGTAAGCCGCTCTGAGACACCTTTGGGTAGTGAAGGGCGGGGTATAAATCAAACCTCTTCTTCTTCTTCTTTGTGTCTTCCTTCCCCTCTTGGTATCCCCCCCCCGGCAGTATTTGGTATCTTGTGAACATAACAAAATACCCACAATACAATGCTCTTCATGCTACTGACAGCCCCATGTTACACACCAGAAAACTAAGTAAACGAGCACTGGGCATCTGAGATAACCTACCTAGGACTCGGGTGCATGATACAAAGAAATTATAACAGGAATCCTTTTCTTTCAGGGTTATTTCCATCAGTCTGTATGTAGCAATGGAGGCACGGAATGAAGGAGACCATGGGATCACGGTCATACTGTACAGAGTGCATAGCTGTTACCAGTAAATCGTTGTCTACTCAACAGTGACAGTTCACACAGCAGTGTGGTGGAGTGGTTAGTGCGTCAGGCTAGGCTCTGGGAGACCCAGGTTCAAATCCTTGCTCTGCCATGGAAGCTTGCTGTGCGACCTGGGACCAGTCACTCTCTCTCTCTGTCTGCCTAACCTACTTCATGGGTTGCCCTGAGGATAAAGTGGAGGAGAGGAAAACTACAGAACTCACTTTGGGTCCCCACTGTGGAGAAAAAGCAGGGTATAAATAGCTAAATAAAGGTTCAAAAAATCTATTCTATAGGAAAGGATTAATTAACTAGGGGTGAAGTCTTGGAAGCACAGGATTCTGTCAGTAGAAGAACTAGAAACAAAACAAAAAAACCCGTGATTCACAACCTGGCCGTGCAAGAGTGTTGCTTCAAATATCTAGATGGAATACTTTAAGATAGGGCTGCCAAGTACTTACCGTGAATTGGCGGGGGACACATGGTTTCTGGCCGGAACATTCCGGCATGTAACACACCCGCGCCCCACTGTGCTCTCGCCCAGACGTGACGCCAGCATGCTGGGCACATAGCCGGGTGATGCTGTGGCAATGGGGCTGAAAACTCGATGGTACCATCGAGTTTTCAGCCCCATTGCCACAGCATCACCCGGCTATGTGCCCAGCATGCTGGCGTCACGTCTGGGCGAGAGCACAGTGGGGCGCGGGTGTGTTACATGCCGGAATGTTCCGGCCAGAAACCATGTGTCCCCCGCCAATTCACGGTAAGTACTTGGCAACCCTACTTTAAGAGCATCAATAGGAGGCCAGAGAAGCCAGGCCTATGCTCAGGCCACGCATCATCAGCTGGGGAAAGTTATGGGTTTTAACATACATCAAAGGACTGGGCAGAAGAAGGGAATGAAATCTGGTGCACTGAATATAGCGCAAGACCATGCAAACTAACTTTACATTCCCCAATACAGCTTGTGTTTCCCCATTACCTGGAATGAAAATCATTTTAAGATCAGCCATTTCCATTCTTCACAATGATGTTATTGACAGATTTTTTTAAAATGAAAAAACCAACCTATGTAGGGAATGTAAAGCAAGAGAAGAGTTTCCACCAGCAACAGGACACAAACATCAGGATCAGTTGTTTTTCCTTTTTGCACATTCTGAATTGTAGAATGCAAGTCTACAGTAGGATTTTAATCCCTGATGTGGGCCTTGTTTCTTTTCCATTCCAGATAAAATTCTTCAAGGATTTTTTTAAACAGCTATAACTACAAATTATATAATGACTTACATATTTGACTACCTAGCAAAGGACAGGACTCCAGAGAGAGACACATAAACCCCCCTCCATTTTTATATCCTCTAATAAGTGTGGTTTCCAAACAGCTTTTGGCTTAATACACAGAGATTTAACTTTTGGCAGGGCTGCTATATTACTGGACGGTACAGGAACAAGGTGAAGAGAGATATGTTGTGCTTCTAACCTTTAAAGCAAGATTTGACTAGAGTAGCACCTTAAAGACCAACAAATTTTGGTCCTTTCTACTCCTGGAAACTTTGTTGGTCTTTAAAGGCGCTACAGTACTCAAATCTTGCTCTACTACTGTAGGCCAACACAGCTATCCACCTGAAATTTATACCCCGCTCTTCACTACTCGAAGGCAGGGGTCATTTCGTAGAAAAAGAGCTAGGGGAACTCATTAGCATAACTCATTAGCATATGCCGCACCCCCTGACATCAGGGGCCTGGCGGTGGACCTACAAGGCCAGCGGGAGTGCGAGGAAGCCCTGCCAAGGCCCTCCCTGACCCCAGGCAGGCAGGGGTGGAGAGAGGTGGGGAGGAAGCAACTTACCCTCCCTCTTCTCCTGCCTCCTCCTGGCTGAATGAGGGCCGGAAGCGGGGCGGCCGGAAGCAGGGGGCAGGGCTTTGTAATGGGCCCCGCCCCCTGCACCTCACCTGGGGGAACTGCGTTCCCCCGCGTTCCCCCCTGAAATGACCTCTGCTTTAAGGTGTCTCAGAGCAGTTTACAATCTCCTTTCCCTTCCCCCCCCACAACAAGACACCCTGTGAGGTAGGTGGGGCTCTGAAAGAGAGAGCTCTGAAAGAACTGCTCTTGAGAGAACAGCTCTGAGAGAACTGTGACTGACTCAAGGTCACCCAGCTGGTTGCATGTGGAGAAGTCGGGGAATCAAACCTGGTTCTTCAGTTTAGAGTCCGTGCTCCTAACCACTACGCCAAACTGGCTTTGAATAATTCTCTGCCACTGGTGCATATTGTAGAATCAGCCTGAAGAGGCAACAAGTCTAAAGCATAAATAAATAAATAAACAAACAAACTCATAAGCCGAGAGAGGACAAACAGCATCCCTATGTCAATGTATAATCCTTTATCAGTTCTCCAAAGCCCTGCATCAGCAGCTTAGTATTAAAACAGGCCGGTGCCTCTTTATGTACCGTAAAAATCTCTCCATTTCACTGACAGATCCACAGGCAGAGGGTTCACACTGCAATCCTATGTGGAGTTGCTCTTGTCAAAGCCAACCAAAATCAATGAGCTCGGACTGGAGCAAGTCTGCCCAGGATCACACTGTTACGGGAACTGCCAGAACCAAAAGGGCACACAGATCTCTTGTGGTCATCGTCATCTGACTACAAAACACCACTGATGTCACCCCGCAAAGAGAAAGCAACTATTCTTCCCCTAAGGAAGAAAAGGGGGCAGCTGACCGCTCAGTGCCACCAGATGGGGCGCATGTGCCCCCCTCTCCTGGGCACACCACTGATACCCAGCGAAGGGTCAGCTGCCTGCATAGCCTCAGTACCCCCCGCTTGGGCTTTCTGCTTTGGGAGCTTTTAGAAAGTATGTTTTAAAAAGGAAACCTAACTCTGCTGCAAAAGTAGAAAAGAGTAGGCGTGGTAGCATCTTGAAGACTAACCAAAAAAATTGTGGCTGGGGATGAGCTTTTGTGAGTTACGGCTTCACTTCTTCAGATACAGCTAGAATTGAGCAGTGCCTTACAAAAGCTCCCAAAGGTAAAGGTTTCCCTTGCTCAAAAGCCAGTCAAATCCGACTCCGGGGTTGCGGTGCTCATCTCCATTTCTAAGCCGAGGAGCCAGCGCTGTCCAAAGACTTTTCCATGGTCATGTGGCCGCCATGACTAAACGCTGAGGTGCACATAATGCTGTTACCTTCTCACCGAGGCGGTACCTTTTTTATCCTCGACCCTGCCACAAATTTTGTTAGTCTTTCAGTTGCTCCTCCTGGACTCTTGCGCTTTTCTCCTGAAGAAGGGAGCAGTGACACTTAGGAAAGCCTGTATCCCTTGCCACAAATTCTGTTAGTCTTCCAGGCGCTCCTCCTGGACTCTTGCTCTTTTCCCCTGCTACAGACAGACTCACACGGCTAACCCGTCTCGATCTACCCGCTGCAAAAGATGCTGTGCAAGAAGTTTCCCGGGAGGGAGACGCCAGGAAAGGAAGACCCGGGGAAGAAAGAGCGGTAAAATCGGGAGCACTGAAAAAGAGGGAGGTCAAATGAGGACAAGAAAAAGAGAGGTAAAATTGGGAAGGGGGGGTGGGATTGGGAAGGGACCGCTGGCAGAAGGCGGGTCACTCAGCTGCATGCTCCCCGGGGCTTGTGAAATTTGAATTTTTCCATCTCCTCTGGCTGGAGGCGGCGGGCTGGGCTGGGCTCTATCCGGAGTCACTGCGGTTTTGCTTTTGAGGAGGCGAAGGAGGAGACCCAGACGGAGGGGAGGGGGGGGAAGCGGGCGCAGAGTGACAGCGGGCGGCGGGGATGGACCCCCGCTGGCCCCTTACCGGCATGAGGTGCGGGTGCCTCGGTGCCCGCCAGCCGCAGCAGCAGCTCCCTTTCGAACCACCGGCTGCGGTTGCCACTGGCGGCGGCCTCCTCAGCTCCCTCTCTCGGAGGCCCGGGCGAGAGAAGGCAGGGAGGGGAGGAGACGGTGACGGCCGCCCCGGGTCACAAGATGGCGCCCGAAGGGAGCCGGTCGGAGGCCATCCCCACGCGGAGACCGCGGAGCGCGGAGGGGCCGCTTTGAACTACCGCTCCCGTCGTGCAGCGGGGCGCGACGGCCTTTCTCCCCCGCCTCCCGCCCGCCGCGTGGCATCATGGGGCTCGTAGTTCCGCACGGGGAGGCTCGGCGCTCCTCGCCTCGGGGTGACTCTGTCCGGCCTGGGCTCGGTGACAGTTAACTTCCACGGCGGAGGCGGGGCTGAGGCGCCTCAGGGCTGGCGGGAGCCGCTTCGTGGCCGCGACGCTGAGGAGAGCTGGTGGGGGTGGCCGCCTGAGGAGGAGGAGGAGGAGGACGCCGCTGTCTCGCTTCTCCTCCCGCCCGCGGGGAGGCTCACTCGGTCCCGTCGGGGGCTCCTTGGGGGGGCGCGGGCCCCTCGCCTCAGCTGACAAGGACCATCCCGG